AAAGTTTTTGGTGGGGATCTGACGCTAGTGGGAACTCCGCAGCACTTCCGCCGGGTGCGAGTCGAGTGGGCTGTTGATCTGGATTCAACACCACGGACCGCCAGAACGCAAAAGTCGCATCAGCACTCTACTGCGCGCCTAAATACTTTTACTATACCAAGAGCCCGAATCAACTCGCTCGCTTTTCGTCGCATTGCTCGTCGCGTATCAGCTACCCCTCAGCAACAACGGTCGCATCGCACGGACAACACCATGGCAGCACCCACAACTTCAGACGACTACGTCGTGACGCCCGCCCCATACCCAGCGCGTACCAGTACGGCCACTTCAGCGATCAAGAGCATAGAAACTACAGCAACGGCGGTCAACTTTGCGGACAAGATCCTCATCACCGTGACACAGAATGGACGGCTAGCGCACTGGGTGTGTGAATATATCTGTTTGTCTGTAGTATCTTTTGCTAACACCTGCTAGGTACATGTACCCCTTGATATCTCCGCGACCGATGCCTCCATGACCTCGAATGCCTACCTCGAACGCGACGAAGAAGACCCCAACTCCGACCTCCTTCCCATGCACCATCTCACGGCTACAACTATACTCGGCGGTACTATGGCAGAGCTCGACACTCTGGGCTCAACACTCGCGACACAGATTGCCAGCGCCATTAAGCAGCGCGACGATAGGGAAACCAGGATGGTCGTACTGGGTATGGGACTGGACAAAAGCATGATTGGAAGAGAAGCATTCAGCGAGCTGGTTGGACTTGTGCTGGGAGTCATATGAGATCGAATTCGTATTGCTTTAATCTATGCAATGCTCGACGTGATAACCGTGGGAGTCTGTGCCCGAACGTTACTCCATCGAATCTTGGGTATGTTATCCATCCGTCCTCCAAGGTCAACTTTTGTCCCTCTATGCGCCGTCCCATGCTGACCAGTCAAGTACCGTAACGCCGACCCAATGCAATTCAGTACCGATTCCTTTATACGCTCTCACGGAGCTTATTGATCAAAACATCGACCGACTCCATGTCGTTGGCATCCAGTTTCTGTTCCGGCTTGAACTCGGCGGGCACATGCTCTACAGCGGCATCGAGCGCAGCCTGGAAGTTGCGGACGGAGGACGACAGGGCGAAGACTGCCTTCTTGCGGACCTTCTTCTCGGTGTCTGAGGTGGCCATGCGAACGAGGGTGGGAATAGCGCCGACTACGAGGAGCTGGGGATCGTTAGTATGTTTTGTGAGTGTGCGCGAGATCTGTGATTGCTTACCCGTTCCTGTGTCCGGATGTTGTTCTGGACAGCAGTGCCGCAGCACCATGCAGCGTAATATCGGAGTTCAGACTCCTTGTTCTCCAACTGTTCGACAAGAGGCACCCATAGTCCCAGACTCTCGATGTTGTTTGCGTTGTCGAGGTTCTCGATGAGTTGCTCAAAGTTGTCGAAGGCGGTCGTCCGGTGCTCCAGCTCGGCCTCTTCGTTTTGAATGACCTGCATGCTTTCCTGCATCAATTGCGCATCCGAAGGTCCTGACATTCCCGTCATGAGTTGTTGCAGCGCCGTGGCGTCGATTTGAGGCGGCGGTTGGTTGGCGGCAGCGGCATCATTGCGCGAGGCCTCGGAGTTTTGAATACCCCATTTGAGGAGATTGTTTAGTCCTGGGTCGTTCATGGTGTTGGATAGGCGTTGGATGTGTGGTGTGTTGTGTGGAGGTTGTGTGTGATCGCGGGGTGCGTAGCCATTGAATAATTTTGGCGGGCCTTATGACGCCGACGCTCGCGAGGGGACCAGCAGCTTCGCGGACCTTCCATGGGAGATGGTGCCCAACACAGCTGTCAACACCATCAACCACATGGCGGAAAACCGACAAACACGATAAACATGGCGCAGTGCAAAAGCTAGTCGATGTCGGCTCTCAATGACATAATCACGACATGTTGACATCGAGGATGGCATTGTTGCTGCGAATGCTCGTTTGGCTAGGTGCACTGCTGCTGCCCCTCCGCACACGTGACCATCGTATTCGGAATGGGCGGGGATGGCGAGTTGGCGGTGAGCGAAGCCGCGGATGGCTGGGGGACTGACTTGTGCTCGACGCTGACTTGTGCATTCACAGCGCACCGGCGAGAACACGTAGGTGCTAGTGGAGTGTCGATGATTGCTATACGCCAAGGATCAAACACCGCTGCCTGGCGGTCTGGTAGAGTTGACGTGCGCCGACAGCAGCTTCCTCGATGCTGTGGCGGGGAGCTTGCGTACTCCCCCAGTACGTACCACCAGGATAGATAGAGTCCATTCTAGGCTGCACACTTTGGGCAGCACGTATAAGATGCCCAATGCTGTTATCGTCGTGAAGCCAGATCGCCAACGCTGAAATTATACACAATCCCCTTTAGGAGCCGCCCGTTCGTGCAAAGCCTCCTTCGCGCCTGCGCTCCTGCCACCCCGCTAAATCTGGGCAAGGCCGACCCGCTTATTTAGCACACCCAGTTCTTGCCTCTGCGCACAAGAACCTCAACCTCAACACCGCCGCCGAACTTGTAAGCTCCCCGAACACCTCCGTACCCTTTTTACTTTTTCACCGCTAGCTGCATCTCTGAGCCTTCCCACTGACGCTCAATTGCTCCAGCGCTCTTACATCGACACCCATCTACAACTCCACGTCTACTCTAATCTCACCCTAATCAATCAACATGGAGGGTAAGCAGCTCCACCCCGACCGCCCCGTGTCCTGACCATCGCCGTCCACCATGCCCTCTATCTCAATGAGCTCTGCTAACCTCGATTGCCCACTGCAGAGGAAGTCGCAGCCCTCGTCATCGACAATGGGTGAGTTGGCACCCCCCGAAGCCCAACACCGCCATCCCTGCCGTGGAGGGGCTGTCCGCGCCTGAGCCTTATCTGAGCCGCGACGACGTCCTCCACGACAGCGCGCCATGTTCGGAGATGAAATGAGCTTGAGCTGACAATCCCCAGTTCGGGTATGTGCAAGGCCGGTTTCGCCGGTGACGATGCGCCCCGAGCAGTCTTCCGTAAGTACCTCCATTTCCGCCTCCCAGCTGCGGCGGGATCGAACGCCATCTCGAGAGCACTTCTGACAGCTTTGCAGCTTCCATCGTTGGCCGACCGCGTCACCATGGGTACGATGAACCCCCCGTAGTCCCCACGCTCTCCGCCGTCTAACAACAAACAGTATCATGATTGGTATGGGCCAGAAGGACTCCTACGTCGGTGATGAGGCACAGTCGAAGCGTGGTATCCTGACCCTGCGATACCCCATTGAGCACGGTGTCGTTACCAACTGGGACGACATGGAGAAGATCTGGCATCACACTTTCTACAACGAGCTGCGTGTTGCCCCCGAGGAGCACCCCGTCCTGCTCACCGAGGCTCCCATCAACCCCAAGTCCAACCGTGAGAAGATGACACAGATCGTCTTCGAGACCTTCAACGCTCCCGCCTTCTACGTCTCCATCCAGGCCGTCCTGTCCCTGTACGCCTCCGGACGTACCACCGGTATCGTGCTCGACTCCGGTGACGGTGTCACTCACGTTGTCCCCATTTACGAGGGTTTCGCTCTTCCCCACGCCATCTCCCGTGTCGACATGGCTGGTCGTGATCTGACTGACTACCTCATGAAGATCTTGGCTGAGCGCGGTTACACCTTCTCCACCACTGCCGAGCGAGAAATCGTCCGTGACATCAAGGAGAAGCTCTGCTACGTCGCTCTCGACTTCGAGCAGGAGATCCAGACTGCCAGCCAGTCCTCCAGCTTGGAGAAGTCCTACGAGCTTCCCGACGGTCAAGTCATCACCATCGGCAACGAGCGTTTCCGTGCTCCTGAGGCTCTCTTCCAGCCTTCCGTCTTGGGTCTTGAGAGCGGTGGTATCCACGTCACCACTTTCAACTCCATCATGAAGTGCGATGTCGACGTCAGGAAAGACCTGTACGGCAACATTGTCATGGTACGTTTAACGCTATAATCTCGCAAAACACAGCTAACAGCAGCCAGTCTGGTGGAACCACCATGTACCCCGGTATCTCCGACCGTATGCAGAAGGAAATCACCGCCCTCGCCCCATCCTCGATGAAGGTCAAGATCATCGCTCCCCCGGAGCGCAAGTACTCCGTCTGGATCGGTGGTTCCATTCTCGCCTCGCTCTCCACCTTCCAGCAGATGTGGATCTCAAAGCAGGAGTACGACGAGAGCGGTCCCTCCATCGTCCACCGCAAGTGCTTCTAAGGTGCTGGAAGTCATGTGTCTACGCGATCCATCGACTGACGGTTTTCTTCCTAGCGTGTTCTTGCGTACGGTTCTCGAGATCATGACAAGCCTAGTAGCGGGGGCATCCTTGTATTGGTGCCTTGTTATCCCGGGGTTTTACACATGTCGATTGTCCACAAAATAGCACAGCGGGCCAATGGTTGGGTGTTTGAGTTATGGAGGAGCTTGAGCTCACATGGGGGTGTAGGATCTTAAGATTGTAGCTTAGAGCCTATGGACACTTTCATATCCCTTACGATCTTTGGCTGTCTCTGCGTGATCAGTGATGATGTGACAACGCAATCTGCAGCTGCAAGCTTGTGTGTATCTCAAAACCTCGACCTGGCACGTATTCACGTGAACGTACGACAGTCAAACACGCGCGACGCGTCGCAAACGTGCCTGGCCTTTCGATCAAAGTAACGACGTGTAGAAATCGAACGAGTGGTTGGACATCCCTGCTAGCGCGGAAGTGTGTCCTCCGCGGGAAGGCACGAAGCGACGCGTTCCTCTGCAAAATGCTTACTTGCACCCTTCCATCTCACGCATGAATCAGCATGACATGACTCAAATCCTCATATAGACCCTCCCTACCTTACCCAGCTGTTGCGTTGTTCATTTTACTATTTATCGTTGTTGCCGCGACGCTGGTCATACTGGGGCGATTGCCTCCGAACTCAAACCGGCACGCGACTTCCGCATCTAAAGTCGCCCGAGCGGCCTCTATCCAGGCAGGATGTCTACATCATCTAGCAAACCCGCTGATGAGAACACACCTCTCCTAACCCAAGTAGACCCAACACCGATAACAGAGGATCAATCGATCGACCCTTCATCTCAGCAAGATGACATCGAAGAAGAAGATCAGGATAGGCCACTGCCCAAAGCTCAGATCTTTCTCCTGTGTTTTACGGTATGCGTGGCTCCGATATCCTTCTTCTCCATCTTCCCTTATATCAATTTCATGATTGAGAGGGTGGGGAATGTGGATAAGGAGGATGTTGGGTTTTACTCCGGCTTGATTGAGAGTCTGTTTAGTGCGACGCAGATGTGTGTGATGATCTTTTGGGGAAGGGTAAGTACCACTTGTTTTGCTGTAAAGGAGGAAAGACACTGGCTGACATGGCATCTAGGCTTCTGATCGATATGGGAGGAAGCCTACTCTCATCATATCTTTGTTGGGCTTGACTGTCGCCACGACTCTCTTTGGAATGAGCCAGACTCTCTGGCAAATGGCATTGTTCAGATGCCTGGGTGGAGCCTTTGCTGGAACGGTCCTCACTGTCCGGGCAATGATTTCTGAGAACAGTACTAAGCATACTCAAGCGCGAGCTTTTAGTTTCTTTGCTTTCGCCAGCAATATGGGTATCTTCATCGGTCCGCTGATAGGTATGTGTTCTGCAACGCCATGAGCCAACAATGAGCTAAGTACGAATCTATAGGTGGTGCACTCGAACGCCCCGCCGATAAGTTCGCATCAACCTTTGGCAAACTGCAGTTCTGGCATGACTATCCCTACGCGCTTCCTAATTTTGTCGTATCGGCTCTCGCTATCTCTGCAGCAATCACAACGATGCTTTTCGTTAAAGAAACACTGCATATCCATGGCGACAAGAAGAAGGCCGCAAAATCCACCATGTCCACCTGGGAGCTGATCAACCGTCCCGGCGTCATGCGAGTACTCGTCGTATACAACTACGTGATGCTCATGGCGTTCACATTCACAGCCGTCTTTCCAGTCGCCCAATACACACCCATCAAATTGGGTGGCCTCGGCTTCACCGCAGAGCTCATCGCTGCATGCACAGCGTTGAATGGAGTATCTCAGGCAGCCTGGCTACTCATTGTATTCCCTGCGCTACACAAGCGCGTGGGTACTGGCTATGTGCTCTATCTATGTGCATCAGTCTGGCCACTTCTATTCATCGTCGGTCCGGTATACAATTTTCTACTCCGGCATGGGCATACTACCATCTTCTGGGCTACTGGGCCACCTCTTCTAGTCCTTGCAAGCGGAGTGTCGATGGCCTTTAGTAAGTCTCCAGAGACACCTGTATCTTGCCTCGCTAACGTATACGACAGCCAGCGTCCAGCTCGCGCTCAACGATATATCACCCTCACACGAAACACTCGGTACACTCAATGCGGTTGCGCTGGCGGCGCAGAGTGGTATTCGATCCGTAGCACCGGCTCTTGCGACTAGTATATATGCTATTGGCGTCAAGTACCATATTCTGGGTGGTCAACTTTTCTGGCTTTGTCAGCTCGTTCTGTCATTCGGCTTGTTTGGGCTGCTGAAGCTGCTGCCTGCGAAGGCTAGGGGGGACGTGAAACCGAAGCTGTTCAACGGCAGTGTTTGATGTATGATTCTGTATAAATGGAAACACTACTCGTGGGTATGTGATCATGCCAAATGATATCGAAATAAAGCAGGAGGCTCGTATATACATGGGTCTACTGTAAATTGAGGGGATGTTGTGGTAGTGTCGCTTGCGTGTATGGAAGCACATTACCCACAATGAAGCATCGCAGAAAGACTTGAGAAACGAACAACATCGAAGGCTTACGAAAAGGCATTTACAAAGCTTACTCTAGACAAAAGACACAAGAACTTCGCAAGCGCCGTAAGATTCGCACATCCAGCTCAAGTCAACATCTTACTCTGGGCTAACTACACTAAGATTTGCACCTGCCTTATCTGGAGCCTGCGAAGACCTTCAACCTCCAATAGGCAAAGATAGTTGACTGAAGATCTTCACGGAGATAGCAATCGACTTCATAGGGTATAAATTTGCGCATACACTCTGACTGTGTAATCTAGATCACAGCCGATGGTTTGGGGGCTCAACTTAGCTTACGGGGGCGCAGCTGCCAAGCCTGCGTAGGCTGACACTACCTAGGTGTAGCTCATCCCCAACTCCAGCATTTCGCTTCTTACTCTACACATCCTCAATCAAATTTTGCCTCGACGATGAGACTCATCAACGTCAAAACGCAAAAGCTTGAAACGCTGAAGCTCGAGGACTTTACAAGCGGTGAACGCCAATACGCCATCCTGTCTCACACATGGGGTACCGAGGAGATCACCATCAGTGAGATGCAGTCTCAGCCTGAGAACAACAAGGCTGACTGGAGAAACAAGGCTGGATGGAGAAAAATTATTCGATCATGCGAACAAGCACAGAAAGACGAATGTGACTATGTTTGGTGCGATACCTGCTGCATCGACAAAAACAGCAGCGCTGAGTTGTCGGAATCCATCAACTCCATGTTTCGCTGGTACCAGGAAGCCAAAGTATGCTATGCGTACCTTGAAGATGTTGAAGAAGTCGACGAACTTCCAAGGGCCCGGTGGTTCACGCGAGGCTGGACTCTTCAAGAACTCATCGCGCCCAAAAGCCTCGTGTTCTACGTAGATCACGAGTACAACACCGCATGGCGAGAGATTGGTACCCGAAAGAAGTTGGCAAGCAAAATTCAAGGAATAACTGGAATCGATGAGTCTTTCCTACGTGGTGCAGGTTCCAGGAGAGAACTTCGTGAAGCGAGCTTCGCCAAACGAGTGGCTTGGGCAGCAGATCGAAAAACGGAGAGAAGTGAGGATATCGCATACTGTCTCATGGGTCTCCTCGATGTCAACATGCCACTGCTTTACGGTGAAGGAGGTATCAAAGCTTTCAGAAGATTACAAGAAGAATACCTCAAAGTCAATCCGGATCAGTCGTTTCTCGCGTGGCTTCTTCCTTCAGAAGACGAAGAGCCAAGGGCCACCTCAGACGGCAACCTTCTCGCCGGTCATCCCGACGACTTTCGAAAGTGCAAACAGATATCACTGGCCAGTGACGACGCTGCTCCCTTCACTCTGAACAACAAAGGGTTGCAAATTCGCCTACCGTTATTCCAAAACGGGAATGTCAATGCCGTACGAAATACCGAGTATTTCGCCATTCTCGCATGTTGTTCAGACGCGCAACCTGACTATCGTATTCGCATACCTCTATGTGCTGTGGAGAGGTCTGCCGAAACATTCACTCTCTTTCCGGGCCGTGAGCACGTTCCTGTCTTGCCTGACGAGTTCGACGATGCACATATGACGAATTGCGTTATACTCAGGGCCGCCCCGCCTTTACACCCCCGGTTACTGTCGGTCAATTACCTAAACGAATCATTGATCTCGTGGAAACCAAAGATCGTCTATCTCAATCCATCGACTTGGACCTGGAATTGTCTGAGCAAGCCTAGAGATCTAGATCCAAGCATCCTGCGCCCCGAACTAAGCTCACGATTTCCGCCGATCCGAGTGCCCGGCCAACGAGAAAGGGCCAGCTATGGGGTCCTTCTTCAGCCTCCGTCTTCATACTTGGACAGCATAAGCAACGGCTGTGAGGATATACCGTGTTCGAAAGTTCTGATTCGCGTGAACGTTGGATTCAAAGAGCGATATGAAGCAGATGTACTTATCCAATTATTCCACGTTGCCAAAAATGAGATCTCGACAGACTTGGAAGATACCTCCAGCATACCGCCCACAGCGATAACGTCAAACTCACGCTCTCGGATGGTCTCCATACCCACCCAACTATCAGAAACGATACATGCATCGGCCGCGTGGAAGCGTAGTTCGAACCAAGACGAACTGTCTTTGAAGATCGATTTGGCAGCGGCCGATAAACATCATGCGAATGAACTGAACGCGCTTTCGACCACTCAGTACAATTCACTTCTTAGTGAAGATCCATTGGTGCGCAGCCTCTATTTTGTAATAGCAATATCGACCTTGCTTATGTTGGGACGCGCGGATTTAGATCCTTACGAAACGATTGGAGCGGGCATTGCCTTCGCATCAGTCTACTTTAAACGCTGGGAAACACGGTTTGCCGCATACGTACGACCAGAATTTAGGGCTGTATTTGTTTTCGCACCCTGTGTCCTGGGTATTATGTTACTCAGTCACTCAAGTTTTGTCGAGTACAATGAAAACCCCGCTGGGCGATCTCGGGGAGCCTATCTTTGGCAGGCTTCGTGTTGCACGGCAATACTTGTGCTGATATCGTTCGCGGGGCACTTAGGTTATGAATCACCAAACAAGGAAGAGCCATCAGCGGAGGAATTAGACCCCAGGACTGGACTCAAAAGTCTGTTGTTCGACGACATAATATGATATCCGACAGGAGGAACTTCGAAATGGTACCGTACTGTGCAGCTGAATAGTTGAAATTTACGTAAATCTTCATAGAAGAGTAGTCTTCTTGGATATGAGATGTAGAAGTTTTGCTTCATCTAGAACGGAGCAGCTTATTGCACATCTTCATCTTGATGTAGGCTGCAGATCCGTTCAGTGTCTTCCCGGTATGAGGTGAGAACGTCTGCGTTGAGAATATTATATAGAGGTACGGGACTGCGAGTTGTTGCCCTGCTCTACATCAACACTCCACCGTGATGAGGTGAGAACGCGTAACTTTCCATCACTCATCCCTAGGGCTACCTTCCAGCACCCAAGCCACCAAGACTGTCGCAAATTCCCGAGCCACAATGATGGACAACACCACTGCAACCCTCCACGTCATCCCCAAGAAGCAAAGTAGCACCTCTAACGGCCCGTCTCGGCGTCATCGACCCGCGCCGACAGCACCACCACAACCCGAGCCATGACGTCCTCCAGCCCACGGAAGCTGAAACACGTGCAGTCACGATAAGGCTACACAAGCAAGCAAGCATTGCTTTGCACCAAGTCCCAGCCCCCCAGCCATCGCTTATCTGCGCTTCCCCGTCGCAGCTCGTGCAGCCAGAACATCGGCGTGATGACATCGAAGGCGGGATGATCACACAACACCCAACCACCCCCCAGCCAGAAACACGCAATTCTCTGCCCAGCCAGCCAGCGTGTCCAAAAGCCGCCCGCGGACACACACCCCGTGCGATCGACATTGCGTCCTGCGACGCAAAAAGTTGCGGCTAAACAGCTGTCGTGCACGGCTTGCGATACGTATCGTGAGGAAAACGTCGACTCCGCAAAGCGGCGATCAAACGTCATGCATCGTGATAAGTGAGCATGAGTCGGGGCTGTCGCACAATCACGCAGTTCCCGATTCAAGTTTCCTTTTTGCACATCCTCCGTGTTCGCGTCGGGAGAACGCTGCGCGGGAGTGGTTTTTATTGAAACGTGTATCAATACAAACAGCATCCATGTCAGGAGCAAAGTAAGGCTGCTAAGATGTGGGCGACGAAACACTCCGCGTCTTGGCCCGGGCAGAAAATGCGTGACAAGCAATTGGCAAGCATTTTTCCCCATTGTCAGAGCGCCTCAGGATCGGGAGAATTGATCAAGGCGCGACGCGTTGTGCTGCCGATGCGAAGAAGATGCGACAAGCGTCACAATGGCATCAGCCATCGTCGTCGTGAACGATCCGATGCGACGCGCTGCGATGGCATGGGGGGCTTGTCCACGGGTATGTCACTTTGCCCAGACAGGCGCACGCGAAAAGGTTTAGTTCCAACCGTCACGGAGGCTCGGCACGCTATTAAGGCCACCCAATATAACCAATACACCACTGGATCGCGACGAAAACGTTGGCCGGAGATGCGCATCACCATCTAGCCCAACCTCTTTTTGAAGTAGTTTCTTCGGGGGTACTATTAGTTCGTAGGCTTTACGTGGCATGCTTGGAATATTGCGATGCGATACGGAAAAGGAGTACAGTAGCTGTGTTCTCGATCTCGCCGTCTCTCGAGAATGCTATTGGGTGGGTGAGCAAGATAGCTATTGTCGTTCTAATCAATCAATTGCTTCACCGTGCATGCGTGTCACGTTCGCCTAAGCATTACATGCCTTGCGCGAGCTGCTGCACAAAGTATGTCATGTTCGCGATAGCTTGCATGGGCTTGCCCAGCCGTTGGTTGGTGCATTAGTAGAGGGAGGCGATGGCGTGCAGCTGTCGCTTTACCCCGCTTGGGAACTGGCAGAGAGGGTGAGCTACCACGAGCTATCTACCCCGCGTGCTGTTATGGTTTGCTCCGCGCAGAAGTCGTAAGTGGCTTGACTTGGGTATGCATGCTGTGTGACCACCAGCTGTCGTTCTTATCGGTGTTGTGTCGACGGAACGTAAGGCGGGTGACTAGCGGCAATTGGAAAGCCGTGAATCTTTCCGATGTACTAGCGACGCGTAGGACTTCGCGTGAAGTTAATTGCACGGATGTAATTGGGGAACTCCAAGAAGCTCAAGATCGAATTCAGGAACACAACATAGAGCAAAAGAATTTGGATCACGTTAAGCACAAGGTCACAGCAATGATTGCAATTGGGGTATTAATTTGAGACAATGAAATTATGCTTCTTGGTATACATGAGAAGACTAGCAAG